CCCGTTGCCGCTGTGGGGCAGCGCGGGCCCGGTGCCGCGCCGGCCGTTCGGCCCCGGGGACACGTCACGGAGCGCGGCAGCCCCGGGCGGCGGCGGCTCACCGCTAGGTGTCCGAGGGACACCCGGCACACCGCGGCACGTCGAGTCCTAGGGAGCTTAGATTGCCTTAAAAATACCGTTTTCTTGGGTATTTCTTTCTTTGTGCTTGACGTAAATTTGCCTACAAGAGCCGGGCGTCTTGTGGGATGAAAAGTAAAAATGCAGGAGCATTGTCCCGGAACGGAAGAGAACTTCCAATTTAAATAATAATTTCAATTTAAAATATAATTTATAATAATAAGATAATTTCATTTCCATTTGTCTGATAGCTTAGTCCTTTCACTGCTCTGAAAAGCAGAGGTACACAGAAAACAAAAAGAATAATGACGTAACTGTACATTTTACTTAATCCAATGATAACGAGCTAATGCTACTTGCTATTTTGGACAGAATCTTATACTCAAATGGTTAGCGCTTTGAAAATACCGTGAGATTCACAAAAACTGCCTTGGAGACCGTTTTTAACTTGTGATGTTTGGAAGGTCAGGGACCCAAAGAAGGAGGATGCTCCCGGTAAGCCTAGGATTTTACCACAAGGAGCAAGAGAATATGTGTATCCTTAGAAGCCACTGCTTCAGCAGATGACAGTGATTTTGGACCTTCTGTTGTTTGCTTAGCAGCATCACAAGCAAGCTGCCTTCTGAGGAAGTGGGTGACTGGTTCAAGCGTGCACTTTTAAGGAAGTCTTCTCTGATGAAGGCACTCATTGTAGATCAGAATCATACTGCTTCAATTGTCTTACACATGTTGTTTCTAGTTGTATGTTGTGAATTCTTCAAGAATGTGGGTACCTAGAACTTGGCAGATGAGGCAAGCAGGAAATAAATAGTTTGGGAATCTGTCCAGGATTCCAGACACTCCTTTGAAAGACTGTAAGCTCACCTCCTGATGATGGGCATCTGCCCTCTGAGAAGACTTGAACCATAGCATTCCTGAAATGTTTTGGTGGAGATACATTGTTTTTAGATGTACATGGTGTGCAGTCCAGTGGAGGGATGAGTGACCATCTCTCCCACAGATTCGTCTCTAAACTGCACTGGACTACTTTATGGCATATAAGTTTAAGATTTGACCTAAGAGGGATGGTAGAAGACTGCCAGTACTTTCTCCCTGCTACCTTCTTCTGTGATGCTGACATTTGAGTATCTCACCTCTGTTGTAGGGACTAAAAGAAATGTAGAGGATGACTAGACTACAGGGTGTTCATGCTGTTTTTCTGTTTACTTTCTTTTACTGAAAGTATTGTGAACTCCTATTTCAAGGTACAATGAGATAATAGTTAATTATAATTATACATATTATTATAATATTAGAATTATTATTACTATGGTATAATTTAAGGCATGCTGAGTTGTGAATCTCTGTGACTGTGGTGAACGTGTGCCTCAGTGAAGCTGGTTGTGTTGATACTGGCCAGTGCTTCTCAGTTTCCTCTCCTTGTTGTGCCAATGACACATCAGTCTTGTCCAGACTTATTTTAATCTTCAGAGTTTACTGTGCTCCCAAAAGTCATGTCACTTCACGGACTATTCTGCATGGTATTCTCTGCTCTCATATCTCTCATTTTCAACCCTCAAGACCTCTTTTTAATATATGATACTTTAATAATTTTGTACCTTGTTTTCTGATAGTGCTTTAAATAGTTTTGCATCAACAGTGGCTGGCTCAGCTACTAGTTGAATTTCTCTAATGACTGCATCACTTTAAAACCAAAATCAATGCACAGAATATAATCCGTGGTTTGATAGTCTGTACTTGTGGCTGGAAAGCTATATCTGACCATAGGTATTACAGATTTCTCCATCCAACTCTTCTCTGCAACATTGCAAGGAAGAAGCCCACATGTTTGGATGTTTCTGTCATCCAAAGTGCTGCAGTTGTTTAAGATACTTAGATGATCTAAGTCAGTAGTGTCCAGAGTGGGGTACACGACATGATATAATGGGGTACTGGAAGAAGATACTAGAACTTCAGTAATGTGTGTATACAACTGATAAAACAAATATGTGCACACTTGGTGTGTGTGCTCAAAAGTGCTTTACTATAGGGATGCACCAAAAAAGTGAAGTTATAGAAATTTTTTTACATCCCACAGAAATCCGAGTAATTTTTGTGCCCTGAAAAATTTATCGGTGGAGACCACTGATTTAAATTACGCCAGTTTTATGTTGTTATTTGTTTCATTTTGTTTTTAATGCAATAAGGGGATAGATTATTTGCTTTATTTGTCCATGTATCTTCCTCTCAATTATTTTCCTGCGCAAAATTGCTGTATTAGTAGTGTACATCTACTTCTCTTGAGAAATCCTGATAGTTCGTTGTTTTTGGTTTTTTTTAATTTTTTTTTTCTTCCTACCATTAAATAGGAGTCAGATAGGATCATTCAGACTGCAGGGAGTTACTGCCCACTCTAGGACTTTATTTTGTGTATCTGACTATTAAAACATTGCCTTATTTTGGCTTGTTGGATTTCTCTGTATTTTTGAGCATCTCCTAAGCAAAGACCAAACTGTATTTGTGTTGTGGTATGACCACATGCCCTGATACAGAGAGCCTGAAACATGACCAGTTCTCAGCCCTGGGGAATCAACAAGTGTGTTTTAATTTTTCACAAAGGAGACGAGTATTTTGAGGTGGGTGTTGTAGCTGTAGTATTGATCGGTAAAGAGGTCAGAGGGGTGAGCAGAGAAGCTGCAATACGAAAGCAGGTGAATCTGCAGCACCTGTTTGTTCAAGACAGGTGAGCAGTGTTCTCATTCACATAATGCTCATGGTGGTGGCGGCAAAATTTTTTTGTCTGTCTAGCTGTACAGACCCTGCTAAGCTACCCAGTTCTACCTGTGGACAGAGTGTACCTTTAATACCTTTCCTTATGACTGATGTAATTGTAGACTAGGGGTTTTTGACTGATACTAGGA